CACATCTGTAGTTGATAACCAATTGATCTGATCGGAAGAGCAGCTCCAAAGTGGAACGGTAAGTCAACTGAGCATCAAAATAGTTGTCACAGATGAAAAATCCCAGGGTAACATTAGACAGGAGTCTTGGATTTGAGTTGATCTGTTTCACAGCAAATGCGAAACTCAGAGAATGCTGATAAAACTTTAAAATAGCTCTGAAAACATAATTCAGGGATAAGTGAAATATTAAGGATTGAGGCAAGATGAATGTATTATGTGAAGCAACAATAACAACCACAATAAAAGTTTCACATTGCGATAGGAATCAGGTATAAAGACTATTGAGAAACATTTAGTAGATCATGAAACTGAGTCAACAACTGGACTAGCTTGCCAGAAACTATGATGTGGAATCCATTTGTAGAGATAGAAAAGAAGGGAGAAAGAAAAGAGGAGGAGGAGGAGGAGAGAAGGAGAAGGAGAAGGAGAAGAAAGAAGAAAGAAGAAGAAAGAAGAAAGAAGAAAGAAAGAAGAAGAAAGAAGAAGAATTATTAATGCAAGATCCAGGTGAAGACTGGTTGAATTCTTTGAGTTCATTCTTACAGTACATTATTTATTCCTACTAAATCTTGCCTCTTGTTCCTATTTCTCCTTATATAATATTCATTATATTGATTTGCCATTCTTGCAGTTTTTAAATCTAATTATGTAGATTTCACATCTGCTGATACTTTTAGTGAGCATCTGTGACAAGTCAAACAAATCCACTTACTTTAGATTGGCCATGCTGCTCAGAGTTTCTTTTATGTAAGGAGAAACCTTCAAATCTCAACAACCCCAATGCAGATTTAGAATAATTTGATTCCATGATTTTATGCTAAAATGGATTTCCATTAAGATATCTTAGAGCAGACTACATAAAGATGCTAAGGAAGCTGTATGGTTGATTTTTTTTTTTTATTATTGCTTTCTCCTACCAGATATCTCTTTTAAGGATTGGCATTGCAATTTATTTTGTTCCACTGGCAATCTCAGAACATCTGCATAGAAGGTTTTTGGTAATTTTATACAAGATTCAGTAGCCAGGAAGTCACTATCATTTTCCAATGCCACACAGAATATATCTAAATGCTAGGGATCACATTCATCAACAGATTGTTGGTTGTATAAGATGTATTGTATAAGATTATATAGATCAGTCAACTTAACCCACAAAAACATATGCAATAATACAATTGGTGATGCTTTAAATTTCAAGACTCTTTCAGGCTGAAATATTACCTGTGCTCCAGAAATTCTGATTACAAAGAGCTGGTAAAATATTGTCTGTAACCTGCAATATTCTCTGCATAATTTACAAAAACACCTTTGAGACTTTTTTTCCCTCTGCAGTTTCAAATGACATATGGAGAAGAAAGAAAAGGAAAAGAGAATTTCTTACAATGGCGGCATAGATGATTTCTGTGAAGGATGCTCATCAAAGGATAGTTCCTCTAGCACATATACAACCTGAGCTATGATCCCGCCAATCAGGAGGTTTCCTGGCTTATACCATTCATGAAGGATAGGAGAGGGATCACTTCTAGGGCAAGATATTGCATCAGTCTGATATTTCAGGTCAACCAGCAACCATGGTATGATCATTACCCTCAACATTTATTTAGATGAGCCTTTTGTAACCTATTCAGAATCCCAACACAGCATTGACTATTTTCCATCAGCTACAAAATCTGGGAATACATTCAGTAACACACATAAATATATTGTTTCTCTCATTCCACTGGTTGACATCAACAAGGTTAGCTATCCATGCCCTGATGAGCAAGCACTCTGCATCAATGGAAATCACCACCAGAATCCAAAGGGACAAGATCCTGCCTGCCGCTGTCCCTTCAACTGGAGAAGTTTTATAAATTCCTCCAGATTGACATTTGAATTATTTCTCTGTACTTTGGGGAAAGCTACTGGAGCTGTGACATAAAGCACCAATGAAAATCATTTAGGTTAATTGCCAATAAACAGTCACCTATGCCTAATGGGACCTCCTGGGTTTGCAGAGCTATTATTTCACTATGTTACACATTTGGAGACAACCGTCTGTTTAATTTTTTAAAGAGATACCACAGAAAAGAATTATATATTCTAGGGATGCCTGATTTTTTTTTGTACAAACATTGATATGAAGTGCATGATAAGTCCACGGGCAATATTTATTTATCCTGACTGACTCTTCACTTGGCATATCTGGCTTTTTTCTTCTTGAAGATCTACCACAGCTTTCCTCCTTGAAGGAGCTTTCATGGTGTTCTGCCTCCATTTGAAATCTATTAATCTTGTGGAGAAGTACTTATTAGTACTTCTTTTTGTAAGTACTGTACCTAGTAATAGGTACTTACTTATTTTATAAGTAATTTTATTTTATAAGTAATTTTATTTATTAAGCACTAATAAATGCTTACTTATTTTTAGTAAGTACTTACTAATAAGTACTTATTTATACTTATGAAGAATGGTTGCTGGAATTGGATATGTCTAGTCTAGTGAAAAGAAGGACTAGGGGAGACATAATAATGGTGTTCCAATATTTGAGAGGCTACCACAAAGAAGAGGGGGTCAATCTATTTTCCAAAGCACCAGAAGGCAAGACAAGAAACAGTGGGTGGAAACTGATCAAGGAGAGAAGCAACCTCCAAAATTTCTAAGGAGAAATTTTGTAATGGTGAGAACAATTAACCAGTGGAATGCCTTCCCTTCAGAAGTTGTGGATGCCCCATTGCTGGAGGCTTTTAAAAAGAGGCTGGACAGTCACTTGTCTGAAATGGTATAGGATTTTCTGCTTGAGCAGGGGGTTGGACTAGAAGACCTCCAAGGTCCCTCCCAACTCTGTTATTCTACATTCTATATTCTAGTCCAGTGGTGGCGAACCTATGGCACGGGTGCCAGAGGCGGCACTCAGAGCCCTCTCTGTGGGCACACGCGCCGTCACCCAGTCCTAGGCCTTCAGCTGGGTTTTATAAAACCTTTTCGCTTTGGGCCTCCGCCGCCGTGTGCAAAAAAAAAAAAGGTTCAATCAATCAGCCAATTTCAACTTCTCGCGGGGAAAAAAAAGATCTTGCAAAGTTGGAAGGGGTGTTGTCTTACCTGAATGCCTTTTCTCAGCATGATGATGGAGAATTGATTGATTGAACTTTTTAGTCCCACCCAGTCTGCCACTTCCTCCACAGCCACGCCCACCCAATTGGCCACACCCAGCCAATGGGCCACACCCAGCCAGCACCCAACGATGCATAAGTGAGTTTTGCGTTGCAGTTTGGGCACTCGGACTCTAAAAGGTTCGCCATCACTGTTGTAGCCAATCAGTAAGCCTTAAGGTGGACTTGAACCTGCATTTCCTTTACCCTAGTTAGATTAAAGGAAACAAGCTTAATCTTATGGCGTCAAGCAGGAAATCCTATACTATTTCAGAGAAATGATTGTCCAATCTCTTCTTAAAAATAGGGTTGCCTGGTGTCCACTATTTGAGTGGACAGTCCACTTTTTTCACATTATGTCCACTATTTTTTTTCACAAAATAGTGGACATTTTTTTTATTCAAAAGCTTTATGATGAAATGGTACGTAATCTAAAGCTGTACAGTCTACTTTTTTTACTACTTAACCCCCCCCCCGCTTGTCCGCTATTTTTTGGAAGCAGACCTGGCAACCCTACTTAAAAACCTCCAGTGTTGGAACACCCATAACTTCTGGAGACAAGCCATGCTACTGATTAATTGTTCTCACTGTTAGGAAATTTCTCCTTAGTTCTAAGTTGGCTCTTTCCTTGCTATGTTTTCATCTGTTAGCTTTCTATTACAATCCATTAACTCATTAATATAGTCCTATTTAAAAAAATCCAGATTTCCTCTGTTCTATTGATCTGTCATAACAAAAAAATTCCCAATCTTTTGAAAGATAAAAAAATATTTTAGTAAAAATGTCATCTTTTAAAAAAATATGTAATTTTTCCATGATATTAATTAGCGGCCAAAGAAAATAATTATAGTTTCTCAAAAAGAATAAATAGGAGGAACAGATGGAAAGCTCCACCAAATACATTTGTTGTTAGATACAAACCAATTAGCACCAAGCTAAGATAAAAACACAACAAGGCTCCAACAAAAAAGAAAATCTAGAAAAAGGAAAATCAACCTTGGATATCACAGGTGCAGATTCTTTAAAAAGTAAATTTTAATCCTTCAATTAAAAAAGAATACATTGCCAAACAAGTTTCAATATCCAAACCTTCATCTTTTTATTCTATAATTTAAATCCAAGTGCCAGATAATTTTAAAGAAACCCAAAATATCTTTGAAATATTGAACACTACCAAAAGAGACACAAGTCTGTAACAGAGGAAAGACTCTCTTCAACTTAAGATTAATAAGATAATTAAAGTATTTAAGAAATAGGGAGGCCAGATCTAGATGCATCTATAATTGAGATATTCTGATATCTTCTGAGCTTTGTTGTTTTCTTGCAGATGTTTCATTATCAGACTAGGCAACATCATCAATGCCCCAGCAAAGTCTGCAAGAAAACAACAAAGCTCAGTGAGCACTAAGGACCCTTAACTTCACCTGAGCTCCAAATATTCTTCTTTATAGATTCTGGTATCTTTTTAGTTCAATGATTATTTCCCTTTGCTGCTTCATTTTAATAAGATCAAAACTGTATTACTCAGATATTTCATAATTGTTAATAGTTAACACACAGCATCTTTTTAAAGAAAACCTAATTGTTCTCTCCATTAAATAGGTGATATAAATAATCAGAACTAAAAAAATACTTTATTAAAAGCAGAGTCACAGTGAAAGATTTTATTTTCCATTTCCATTGATAAAATTTGATACACAATCTTATATATGCAAAGGATATACAATATCAATAAAATTAGCAGAAATAATAAAAAGTCCAATTTTTATTCATAGAAAATGAATACTCATTGAGTTTCACGGCAGAAATGCATCAATAATTTTACAGTCAGAAATGCTTTCTCTTTACAAGTTGCTGTTTGCTGTTGAGGTCAGGCCTCAGTAAAATAATGTAGCATTTAGGGAAAAAGATACATCCCAATAACCCAGCACTAGAAGCTGAGATGGAGAAGATCTCCACAGCTACCATATACTTTCCTTTGGTGCTCAAATATGTTGGAACAAAAGATAACCAAACACTGCAAAACATCAGCATGCTAAAAGTGATGAATTTGGCTTCATTGAATGTGTCGGGCAGGTTCCTAGCTAGGAAAGCCACCAGGAAGCTGACTAGAGACAAAAAACCCATATAGCCCAAGACAAGATAAAACATCACAACGGACCCTTCATTACATTCAGCTATGATCTCTTCAGTCACTGATTGCATGTTAAGTTCTGGAAAGGGTGGAGAAGTGATCATCCATGCCAGACAAATGCCTGCTTGAATGAAGGAGCAGAAAAAAATAATTAAAATGGACACTCTTTTGCCCAACCATTTTCTCATGCTGGATCTTGGTTTGGTGGCCATGAATGCTGCAATGACCATGATGGTTTTGGCCAACACAGAAGAAACAGCCACAGAGAAGATAATGCCAAATGCAGATTGTCGGAGGAAGCAAATCATTTTGAGAGGTTTTCCAATGAAAAGAAAAGAGCAGAGAAAGCAAAGCAGAAGGGAGATGAGAAGAGTGTAGGTGAGGTCCTTGTTGTTAGCTTTCACAACAGGTGTGTCTTTATAGTTAATAAATATCGCAAGTATAAATATGGTAATGGTTGAAAATAAAATAGTAATCGCAACTAAGCTGATCCCTAAAGGTTCTTCAAAAGTTAGAAATGTTATTGCTTTGGGGATGCATCGAACTTTGTCTTTACTTGGAAATTGATCTTCTGGACATTCAGAACAGGCAATTGTGTCTGCAAATAAGAGACATACTATAAAGCATGAGATCTAACCATAAAAATTGATGTAGCACCAAATCAAATATATAATTTATATTAGATTATATCAGTGTTTTTCAAATTTTGCCACTTTAAGAAGTCTGGAATTCAATTCTCAGAATTGTGTCTGGGGAATTCTGGGAGTTAAGAGTCACAGGTCTTAAGGTTGCTAAATTTGAATAACAATTTATTAAATCATGACAAACATTTCTTTGTTTGTATGTACACTGAGAGCTTATGCACCAGAGACAAATTCCTTGTGTGTACAATCGCACTTGGCCAATAAGGAATATTTCTCTTCCTATCATTAGATGAGATCTAAAGATAATGTATTTAGGTGGGAATCTTCTTTGTTAGTGATAGTCATAGTTAGGAAGCATCAATCTTTTTATTCTGGTAAAATACTTTTTAATAAAATTTATGTATCTGAAAACTTTGCCTTAATTCAACTTCACAAACCAAGTGGACAAGCTCTCAATCCCAGGGAACCTGTCCATTCTCTTTGATCCAACAGGTTCAAAACAGGCATGAATCTTCCCAGGAATCTCCTCTGGACCTGCAACAAGATGAGTGTCCACTTGGGAACAAATCTTGGTGACTTTATCTGACAAATTCTGTGCAATTGCCTTTGTATGGCCTTATAACATGTTCATCATGCCTTCCTACCACGGATGGTGGAGACCTTCTGTGACTGCATTAGGGGCAAAGACATACTGCTGTCTCCCCACCCTTAGCATCACAAGATAGGTTTTAATAGAAGCACTAATCCATGCTTGGTCAACTGTACCCTTGGCAAAGTGCCTTCTATGTTCAAGATCTCTCCTCCCCAATTTTATTTCCCCCAGCTCCTCTGTAACCCAAACAGACTCCTGGATTCCTCAGAAGAGAGAGATTTCATGAGCATGATGCAATCCATTGCCTTTATCAAAGATTCTTTTTCTTCCTTTTAGGAATTATTTGAATGCTTTTCACTTTGGTTTTATTCAATTTTATGTGTACACCTTGTGAAATCTTTAAATATGTAGATCGGTATTGCAATAAAATAAACGAAACAGAGAAATCAGATATACATTTAAATAAAAGTAATTTATTATCTGGTCAATTAAGCAGTGAAAAAGTCTAATATATCACAGAGTAAAATAGAATAAGATGTATAGTATAGTATAGTATAGTATAGTATAGTATAGTATAGTATAGTATAGTATAGTATAGTATAGTATAGTATAGTATAGTATAGTATAGTATAGTATAGTATGGTATGGTATGGTATGGTATGGTATGGTATGGTACGGTACGGTACGGTACGGTACGATACGGTACGGTACGGTACGGTACGGTACGGTAGAGTAGAGTAGAGTAGAGTAGAGTAGAGTAGAGTAAACCAGAGAATAATTTACCTGACATGTTTGACATCTTCCCATCAGAACATGGATCACAATCATAGCAGCAAAATTTCTTGCCTTCTTTCTTTTTCTTCTGATAGCCAGCAGGACAGGGATTATTACACACTGAACGAGGCAAGATCTGTTGATAAACCAGGATGTTTCATAACCATGACATTAGGAGTCAGTTACTCACTTTGTACACTATTGTACATACAGAAGCTTTAGTGTTTCAACCCCAGTGAAGCCAGGATATATAATATTAGCCAGCTCACTGATTCTTGAATTTTTTATAACCTGTCAAAGGTGGGTGGTAGTACTTTTTATTTTATTTTCAAATTTCCCCATCTCCCTGAGGAAAACAAAATCTTCTGTAAATTTGTCAAATACAGCAGAAAAAAAACCCAGCCATAGTTGGAATACAAATAGTTAATTTTAACTCATTTAAGGATATGAAAGTAGGCTGTACAATCACACTCATTGCTGATCTTCAAATCTTTCAACCAGAATAATGCAATATCTCAAAAATCTGTACCTGCTTAAAATATTTGTGCCACACAATTAAATCTTCATTAATCACAAATTTGTTTCCTTCAAGAGCTTTGGGATCAATTTTTCCGATTTTCACTTTATGGTAGGAATTGTTTGGAAACATGACCACATTTGTAATATCAAATCCAGAAAGCACTTCTCCATGATGGTTGATGGATACAGTTTTTCCAAGGGAATTATTGAATGAAAGGCTTTGAAGAAACCAATGAAGCTAAATAAAATAGGGGGAAAAAACCTATGGGTTACATCAAGACTTCCTGAAATTTGTAGAAATGAAAGTGGCATTACTTAAGTCCCACTGATATCTTGTCAACCAGATTTGTGTAGGACTATCACTAGATCATGACAACTTGCACTAGGCAATTATAGTCGTCTACAAATGAGACAAAAAGCTGACACATGTTGACATCATTTAGCTTAAAAAAGCACACCTGCTAGATTCAAAGTGAAATAAGCCACATCATGGCTGTCAAAATCCAGCTTGAGAATCCAAATAAGACTCCAGATTAATTCTGTTTCTGAAAATCTTTTTGTTTATTAAATATACTGAGTGGTTATGTCAAAGCAAAACTAACTCTAAGATTCCCACACCAATTCATGGACTCTTCCCAGCCATCCCCCCCCCAATGTCTTATGTAATCCATATCAACAAGTCCACTTTGCTATGGGAACCATTTGCTTCAAATTCACACCTGTTCTGGTTTCCTTGACAAGGTTTCAGGCTCCCATAGTCTGCAGCTGAATAAAAAATGTTTCATTTCTCTATCTATCCACTTGAAAGTAACACTTCCACCTCCCCTTTATCTAAAGGAAAATTGAAACACAGAGGCACATAGCTGCCAAAGTTTCATCCTTGACAATGGGTTAGCATGACTTCCAGAGCTGGATGCTATCAAAATCCAATTAATTAATTACTGTGCTGAAATCGAGAAGCAAACATTTTTCTTGCTTATATCATCATCTCACCCAACCTAAGAGATATATTGTCCTGTTCCAGGCTATGAACACACACACAGGAAGGGGTTAACTGTTTTATTTGGCACCACTAACCAGTACTGCTAACTACTTAGAGAAAAAGGAAGAAGTTCAGTATAACTTTCATGGTATTAATCTACTCTTTGGAATGATGGTGTTTGATTAACAAGTGATTACCTTCCAGATGCCTTGATCTTCAAGTTCATTCCTTCTACTTTTTGTTATTCTTTGGTATTTAGACTTAAGTATGTTCATGCCATAAAGAGCATGTGCTACAGCATAGACTGCATTGTAGATACTATAGCTGTGGCCAGTCATTTCAAATAAATGTCTAGGAAGCTTTTTCAGATCTTCCTTCCTAGTACATGCTTCATCACTTTCCATTGGTTTAGTGCTGTCTGAAAAGACACAATCAAAGCACTGTTCCCAGAACTCTTTGAACAAACTATCCTGTTGGGTCTGAAATGGTTTTATGGCCCAAAGGAATTCCTCAAACTGTGGCAGTTCATTGGAGTGAATAGCAAAAGAAATTGCTCCATCAAACAACTGCAAATCTGAAGGTTGATGAAGACTTGTTAATGTAAGATCAATTTGAGCTGTTAGAATCCACATTTTCCCATAACTTTCGTCTATATATTTAACAAACAGAAATAGAACCATTGCTGTGAAGCTTTCTCCATAGAAGATGAATGTATTGATTTTGGTTTCCCTCAAGTGAACATTTATCCTACCCACCATAGGATTTTGAAAAATAAAAATAAATGCTTGTTTGGGAAATCTCTCCACAAAAGCAGAGCAGATCCTGTTCTCAGAAAGAAGTGGGTCCAGAGCTCGGAGGAAATTGTCTCCACTGTCATCATCCAGAATTAAAAGGCCAATCCACGTCCATCCAAAATGCTTCAGCAACTGGATAATCCCCACAGTCTGAAGGTTTTCATTGGGAGCCATGCGATAAAAGGAAGCAGCCCTCTTTGTCCCATGCTTCTTGGGAGCAAATGAGCCATAGGAGAGCTAAAATCAAATGTATATTTTGTTGTAAACTCTCAATTCCTATGAGAAAGTTATATTTTCTTAAAGAATACACAGAAAGATACATTTTTGCAAGCTCTTTCCTTGCATGGGCTTCCATTTTCAAGTGCAAATAAAACTTTGACCATTATGATTACTATATACTAATGCTGTATATATATGGAACCCTATCTTATTTATTTATTTGTTAAATTTATACTCTGACATTTTTTTTCAGGTGCCCAAGAAGACACATAGTGCACTATAAGTAATCCTGTAAGTTTGGCTGAGAAAGGATGATGGACACAATCATCTGTTAGTTCACATGTGTATTGGAGGTATATGCAACAAAAACTCATTTTAATGTATGATGATTAGTGTACATTTAAAGTGACAATAAACTTATTATTCTATTCTATTCTACATCGGTGAGGATAAAACTAATCTCCAACCATCTGAAGCTTTCAGAACCTGTTAGCTTTTTTAAACAAATTTTTAATATGTTGCATCAGATACGTATTAATTCCAACTCCATAAATTTCATCAGTCCATTTTGATGCATAATTGAAAGAGAACCTAACCCCTACTTCAGTGGTTCCCAACCTTTTCTATACCTCGCACCCCTAGAACGCTTCTGATATATTCTTGCACCCCTTAAAAAAGTTTGAAACAAATTATGCATTTGTTGTTGTTAGCTGCGAAATCGTGTCCAACCATCGCAATCCCATGGACAACATTCTTCCAGGCTTTTCTGTCCTCTACCATCTTCTGAAGTCCATTTAAGTTCACGCCTACTGCTTCAGTGACTCCGTCCAGCCACCTCATTCTCTGTCGTCCCCTTCTTCTATTGCCCTCAATCTTTCCCAGCATCAGGCTCTTCTCCAGTGAGTCCTTCCTTCTCATTAGGTGGCCAAAGTACTTGAGTTTCAACTTCAGGATCTGGCCTTCTAAAGAGCAGTCAGGGCTGATCTCTTCTAGGACTGACCGGTTTGATCGCCTTGCAGTCCAGGGGACTCACAGGAGTCTTCTCCAGCACCATAGGTCAAAGGCCTCAATTCTTTGGTGCTCAGCCCTTCTTATGCATATGCATATATACTATATTATGCATATACACTATAATTTTGAATTTCTAAACCCAAGTTTTCGCACCCCCTGGAATATCACCTCATACCCCCAGTTGGGAACCCCTGCCCTACTTGGAAAAGAATTGTTCCCCCTTCCTTTCAATTTTGCCACATGGACAAGTTTTCACATATGTCAATAAATATATGTTACTTGTGGGATTTTATAAAGACTTATGATATCTGACATGAAGAATGAGATATCAGCACCAAATCCCCCAATAATGGCCACAACGAGATTCTCCTTGGTATCACATCTGTAGTTGACAACCAACTGATCAGATCGGAAGAGCAGCTCCAAAGTGGAACGGTAAGTCAGCCGAGCATCAAAATAGTTGTCACAGATAAAAATTCCAAGGGTAATGTTAGGTAAGAGTCTTGGGTTTGAGTTGATTTGCTGCACAGCAAATGCCAAGCTCAGGGAATGCTGGTATAATTTTAAAACGGATCTGAAAACATAAATTGAAATACAGAGGGGTTGAGGAAAGAAGAATATATTTTGTGAGCAACAACAACATGAAACTGGACATTTTGTTAGGCATCAGATACTGTATAAAGATCAATGAGGAACATTTAGTTTGTCTAGAACTGGGCTAGCTTGCATGAAATTATGAGGTTAAATTCAATTGTATAATGCTGCTAGATCATGATTGATCACAGAATCAGACAGATGTCCCAAAGGTGGTTTTTCAAGAGGCAACTGGACTTTGTTTGATTTTTCTTGAAGACATTTTGCTTCTCATTCAAGAAGCTTCTTCAGTTCTGCTTCAAAGAAAATCAAAGAAAGTCCAGTTGCCTCTTGAAAAAGCACTTTTGGGACAACCAGGACCTGGATAACTGAGAATCTCAACAGACAATCAGACAGATGTTTAAAACAGGATTTGCCATTTTTATCGACATATCAATTCTTTCCAAGGACCTGGGAATAGGTAGATTTTGTTGTATAGTGATAGTTAAAAGTATTGTGGCAGGAAGGAGTTGTTCTACTAAAACTGCTTTTTTTTTCAATGGACTGATGCTGATTTTGTCAGTGGTGATATTGTTCAAGTGGTGCTCCAGTGGTTTTAGGATTGCACCTAAGACACCTATTATATTGGTTCTACCTTTGCTTTCTTTTGCCACAGTCGTTTTATTTCTATTTGCAAGTCTTCACATTTTGCTATCTTCTGCAGTTATTTCCCTTCTATTCTGCTGTTTCCAAACACTCCCATGTCTACAGTATTACCCAAACTGTTTTGTTTTTGTTATTGCTAAGTTGCTAAGTCTGGAATGTTTCGTGGAAGATGCTTATATGTTCAAATACTAAAGTCCCAGGGAACTTTGGCTTCTTCATTTTCTACTACTTTGTCTATTTTGTGATCCCAACAATTGTTGCCTTTGGGAAAATGGTATTTTTTGCAGATATTCCAATGATATTCCAAATATTACAATAATGATGATGCAAGGTCTAATTGAAGCCTGATTGAATTTTTAAAGTTCATTCTTACATTGTGTTATTTATTTCTAATTTGCTACCTTTCCTGCCTTATCCACAAGCAGCAGTAGGGTGAACACACCAAAACATTCCCACTACTATGTTTGCATACATAGTTTGTGAGAAAGAGGTCTGGGAGCATTTTTTGGGGGGGCGGGCTGTTATAACTGGTCTCTTCACTCCCCTCTGCTGCTTCCATATATAGCTTTCATTAAATTGGTTTATCATTCTTGCAATTCTTAAATGTAATTACTTAATTCTCACTTCTGCAAGTGAAAGAAACCCACTTACCTGACTATATGCTCAGAGTTTCTTCTACTTAAGAAGAAACTTAAACCTTCAGATCTCAGATGTTCCAATGGAAATTTAGAATATTTTGATCCCATAATTTTAGGCTAATATTTACTTATTTATTAAATTTTGAAGCAGAACCATCTGCTTCCTAGATAAAATAGATTTTTATCAAGAAAACTGAGGGCTGTAGACTAGACTGGGAAGTCAAACATTACTCTAGATTAAAGCAGTGGGATTTGAGTACAAGGAAGGAACTGGAGGTTTCCTGGGGACACATAGAGAATGACTACTACAATAATAATAATAATAATAATAATAATAATAATAATAATAATAATAATAATAATAATAATAATAATAATAATAATAATAATAATAATAATAATAAAGTTGGACGGGGCCTTGGAGGTTATCTAGTCCAACCCCCTGCTCAGGCAGGAAACCCTATACCATTTTGGACAAATGGCTCTCCAGTCCCTTCTTAAAAACTTCCAGTGTTGGAGCATTCACCGCTTCTGGAGGCAGGTTGTTCCACTGGTTAATTGTTCTAACTGTCAGGAAGTTTCTCCTTAGTTCTAGGTTGCATCTGTCTTTGGTTAGTTTCCACCTGTTGCTTCTTGTCCTGCCTTCAGGCGCTTTGGAAAATAGCTTGACTCCCTCTTCTTTGTGGCCGCCCCTGAGATATTGGAATACTGCTATCATGTCCTCTCTCGTCCTTCTCTTTGTTAAACTAGACATACCCAATTCCAGCAACCGTTCCTTATATGTTTTAGCCTCCAGTCCCCTAATCATCTTTGTTGCTCTTCTCTGTACTTCACGTGATCTTGATTCTAGTCCTCTGTTAATGCAGCCTAGCACTGTGTTGGCCTTTTTGGCAGCTGCAGCACATTGCTGGCTCATGTTTAAGTGATTGTCCACCAGGACTCTGAGGTCCCTCTCACAGTTACTACTATTGAGCAAGGTACCCCCTATACTATACCTGTACATTTGGTTTTCCTTGCCTAAATGTAGAACCTTACTTTTTTCACCATTGAATTTCATTTTGTTAGATAGCGCCCAGTGTTCAAGTCTACTAAAAAGATTCTGCTTTGTACTTGCAATATTGTCTGAAGTGCATAGAGGTTTTTCAGTAATTTTATTCATCATATAAATATTGCATCCAGTTTTGGTCACCATGATATAAAAATGATGTTTAGATTCTAAAAAGAAAGCAGAGAAGAGCAACAAATATCATTAGGGGACTGGAGGCTAAAACACATGAAGAATGGTTGCAGGGATTGGGTGTGTCTAGTTTAAATGAAAAAGAATAAGAGTGACATGATAGTAGTGTTCCAATATCTCAGGGGCTGCCACAAAGAAGAGGGAGTCAAGCTATTCTCCAAAGCGCCTGAAGGCAGGACAAGAAGCAACAAATGAAAATTAATCAAGGAGAAAATCAACCTAGAACTAAGCAGAAACTTCCTGACAGTTAGAACAATTAACCAGTGGAACAACGTATCTGCAGAAGTTGTGGGTGCTCCAACACTGGAGGTTTTCAAGAAGCAATTGGACAACCATTTTTCTGGCATGGTATAGGGTTTCCTGCTTGAGCAGGGGATCAGACTAGAAGACCTCCAAGGTCTCTTCCAACTCTGTTATTCTGTTATGCATTTGCTGATTTAGCAACCATCCAGCCATTATCACTACCCAATAGCAAATAAAAAAATCTAATGTTTCAAGTGACACATGGAAAGGAAGGAAAAGGAAAAGAGAATTACTTACAGAGGCGGCATAGATGATTTCTGTGAAGGATGCTGATCAAAGGGAAGTTCCTCAAATACATATATAATCTGAGTTGTGATCCCACCAATAAGGAGGTTTCCTGGTTTATACCATTCATGAAGAATAGCAGAGGGTTCACTTCTTGGGCAAGTTATGGCATCAGTCCAGCACTTCATGTCAACCAGCAACCATAGTATGATCTCTGCTTTCAACATTTTCTCTAGAATATTATTATTTGTACCCAGTCACTGCATATGGTGAGGCTGTTTTGCATCAACTACAAAAATCAA